GGAATGGTCACGGGGACCCCAAACCCTGCTGGGGGCAGTGAGGGGGACCCCAAATCCCATTGGGAGCAGGGAGGGGGAGATGAAACCCCAAATCCCCAAATTGGGACAGCGAGTGGGAACCCTAAATCCTATTGGGAACAGGGATGGGGAGTAAAATCCCAAATCCCATTGGGGAAGAGAGGGGGACCCCAAATCCCATTGGGAATAGGGATGAGGAGATAAAACCCCAAATCCCATTGGGAATAGAAATGGTTCCCCAGGTCAAATCCCCTAAAAACGGGAGGAATCCCCAAATCCCATTGGGAATAGGGATAGGGGACCCCAAACCTGGCTGGGACAGTGAGGGGGACCCCAAATCCCATTGGAAACAGGGATGGGGGACCCTAAATCCCACCGGGAATAGGGAATGGAGAGGTAAAACCCCAAATCCCATTGGGAACAGAGAGGGGGACCCCAAACGCCATTGGGGCAGAAATGGTTCCCCAGGTCAAATCCCCTAAAAACGGGAGCAATCCCTAAATCCCATTGGGAATAGGGACAGGGGACCCCAAATCCCATTTGGAATAGGGACAGGGGACCCCAAATCCCATTGGGAATAGGGATGGGGGACCCCAAACCTGGCTGGGACAGTGAGGGGGACCCCAAATCCCATTGGGAATAGGGATGGGGAGTAAAATCCCAAATCCCATTGGGGCAGAAATGGTTTCCCAGGTCAAATCCCCTAAAAACGGGGGGGACGGTCAGGGGGACCCCAAATCCCATTGGGAATAGGGATGGGGACCCTAAAACCCCAAATCCCATTGGGACAGCGAATGGGAACCCCAAATCCTATTGGGAACAGGGATGGGAAGTAAAATCCCAAATCCCACTGGGAACAGAGCGGGGGGACCCCAAATCCCATTGGGAATAGGGATGGGGAGGTGAAACCCCAAATCCCATTGGGACCACGGAATATGAGGGGGAGGAGCCCAAATCCTATGGGATTGTGGAGTGGGAGGGTCAGGAGGGAGACCCCAAAAGCCCCCCATGGATCCCAAAAAAACCCTCAGGGACCCCAAAATCCCCCAGGAAACCCCACAGAGCCCTCCAGGACCATGGAATTGTGACAGGAAAAACCCAAATCCCAATGGGATCACGGAATGTGAGGGTGAGACCTCTAAATCCCAATGGGATTATGGAATGGGAGGGGCAGGACGGAGACCCCAAAAAGACCCCAGGGACCCCAAAATCCCCCAGGACCAAGGACAGAAAAAACCCAAATCCCAATGGGATCGTGGAATGTGAAGGTGAGACCCCTAAATCCCAATGGGATTATGGAATGAAAGGGGGCAGGATGGACCCCCAGGAACCCCAAAAACCCCCAGGGACCCCAAAACCCTCCAGAAATCCCCAAAACTCCACCCAGAATCCTGGAATTGTTATGCGAAAAACCCAAATCCCAACGGGATCATGGAATGAAAGGGGGCAGGAAGGAGACCCCAAAACACCCCAGGGACCCCAAAACCAACCAGGGACCCCAAATCTCCCAGGACCAAGGACAGAAAAAACCCAAATGCCAATGGGATCGTGGAATGTGAGGGTGAGACCTCTAAATCCTAATGGGATTGTGGAGTGGTAGGGGCAGGAGAGAAACCCAAAAAAAACCCTCAGGGACCCCAAAATTCCCCCCAAACCCCCCAGGGACCCCAAAATCCCCCAGGACCATGGAATTGTGACAGGAAAAACCCAAATCCCAATGGGATCACGGAATGAAAGAGGGCAGGAAGGAGACCCCAAAAGCCCCCCAGGGACCCCAAAAACACCCAAAATCCCCAAAAATCCCAAAAATGCCCCAAACGCACCGGTAGTTGTAGCTGCTGTACTCGAAGTCGATGAGCATCAGCCGATCCGAGGAGCCCTCGCGCCCCGACAGCAGCAGGATGTTCCCTGGAAAAAACCCCAAAAGAGTGGGGTGGGGAAAATCCCAAAGGGAAACCCCAAAAAAGCGGGGTTGGGAAAAATCTCAAAGGGAAATCCCAAAGAGCGGGGTCAGGAAAATCCCAAAAGAGAGGGATCGGGGAAAATCCCAAAAGAGCGGGGATGGGAAAATCCCAAAGAGAGGGAAAGGGAAAAATCCCAAAGGGAAACCCCAAAAGAAAGGGAAAGGGAACATCTCAAAGGGAAACCCCAAAGAGTGGGATCAAGGGATTGGGGAAACCCCAAAAGAGCAGGGTTGGGAAAATCCCAAAGGGAAACCCCAAAGAGTGGGGTCGGGAAAAATCCCAAAAGAGCGGGGTCAGGGAAAATCCCAAAGGGAAACCCCAAAGAGTGGGGTCAGGAAAAATCCCAAAAGAGCAGGGTCAGGGAAAATCCCAAAGGGAAACCCCAAAGAGCGGGGTCAGGAGAATCCCAAAGGGAAACCCCAAAAGAGCGGGGAAGGGAAAAATCCCAAAGAGCGGGGTCGGGAAAATCCCAAAAGAGCAGGGTCAGGGAACATCCCAAAGGGAAACCCCAAAGAGCGGGGAAGGGAAAAACCCCAAAGGGAAACCCCAAAGAGCAGGGAAGGGAAAAATCCCAAAGGGAAACCCCAAAGAGCAGGGAAGGGAAAAATCCCAAAGGGAAACCCCAAAGAGCAGGGAAGGGAAAATCCCAAAGGGAAACCCCAAAAGAGCGGGGAAGGGAAAATCCCAAAGATTTATAACCCCAAACAGCGGGAAATGGGAAATCCCAAAGACTGGGAAGGGAAAACCCCAAAGAGCGGTTAAAGGAAACCCCAAAAGAGAGGGGTCGGGATAAACCCCAAAGGAAAACCCCAAAGAGTGGGGTCAGGAAAACCCCAAAGAGTGGGGGATTGGGGGATTGGGGAAACCCCAAAAGAGCGGGATTGGGGGATCGGGGGATCAGTGGGATTGGGGGATTTGGGGATTGGACAGTGGGATCAGTGGGATCAGGGAATCAGCAGGATCAACGGGATCAATGGGATTGGGGATTTGGGGTCGCTCACCCTCCTGGACGTCGTTGTGGCAGAAAACAACCGGGGACGGGGTGGACTCCAGGAGATCCCTGAGGGATGGGAACGGGATCAGAGGGGACACCCCAAAAACACCGATAGGGGATATGGGGTATGGGGACACCCCAAAAACACCGATAGGGGATATGGGATATGGATATGGGGTATGGGGACACCCCAAAGACACCGATATGGGATATGGGGCACAGGGATATGGGATATGGGATATGGGCTATGGGATACGGGATACAGGATATGGGATATGGATATGGGATATTGAATATGGGGGTACAGGGTCACAGGGGACACTCCAAGGACATGGATATGGGATATGAGATGTGGGATATGGATAGAGGATATGGGATATGGGGACATCCCAAGAACACAGATATGGATATGGGATTGGGATATGGATATGGGATATGGATATGGGATATGGATATGGATATGGATAGGGGATGTGGGATATGAGATGTGGGATATGGATATGGATATGGGATATGGATATGGGATATGGAAATGGGATATGGGATATAGGATATGGGATATAGGATATAGGATAAGGGATATGGGATATGGATATGGGATATGGGATA